TCTCGACTTTCACATCCCCATAATGCCTTGCGTCTTTGGGGGGTAACCAATCAAAAAACTGTCCCAAATTGAAAGGTTTCTTAATTGAATTTATACTATACCTGCTTTTATCTGTACAATACTGATTATCAGTTTATTCCAAGTTATTTTTGCGTGTACAGATCATCAAGAGTTTTGGTCTTACAGAAAATTTATTGACTTACGAAAATATGTTTAAAATTTATCTTAAACGTCTTCAAGCTTCTATCTTTTTCTGTTTTTTACTTCTTCATTTTATCTTTGGATACCAAACAAGGTAACAATGAATGACGATTGTCAATTAAAGTAGGGTTTGGGCACAAGGATGATGTAATGCCTGAATGACATTTTTTATTTTTATTTTTATTTAACCATATACAGTATTTTCTAATCATTTACTCCAAGTGCCATAACGGCTCATCTAGGGAGATCATAATAATGACGTTTTAATGATATAATAATATTATCTGACTAACATTAATATTTTTTTAGCTTTGTCTGTGAAAAAGTGGATTCTGTAAAAGCAATAAAGGTAAATCTACTGCCATGCTTTTTATCGTTTGTATTTCCTATGTTTGCACTTTGTATTCAAACCTATAATACACTCAACAAAATTACTCGATCCTGATTGGACAAGAGGAGTACAATTAAATCCCAAATTGTACTCTGTAGAGTCCCAATTAAGTTGCTCAAATGTTTTGAGCGTATTATAAACAAAAAATCGCACGATCTTCTCGTACAATTCGCGTACAATTTTAAAGTTATCAAATTAGACTCGCCTAAAGATGTCGCAGGTAACTGTAAAGAGGGGTATTGCAATATTTTAAATATATAATTTCATCTTTAATTTAAGGGAGTAAACTTTTACAAGAACCAAGTTAGAAAAATCGTAGAAAAAAAGGTATGTATAAAAGAACTTATACCCCATTCACACCAAGGCGTATACAGGTTTTAAAGTGGTTGAACTAAACAGGTTTGAAAAACTATCTACGAACACTGCACAATATTTGGTGAAATAATGCATGTAAACTATTCTTTGTCTTGCTCTGATAATATTTTAGAAAGTTTCATTATATTGTAGGTTTCTAGTTTCTCAATTTTTTTCCTAATGAAAAGACAGTTTAACTAAACACGTTTAGGTGTGAATTAGGTATTAGTCGTTTCTTTTTCTATGTTCGTCGTTCATACAATTCCATTCGGCCGGTACAATCCTATTCCTATACGTTCATCCAAGCCATCTTGGGTACATTCTTATTTATTTCCGATTTATTTCCGATTTATTTCATGTACATTACTCAGTCCTATTCGTTCATCCAATCAAGTTCAAGTACATTCGTATTCCTATATGATCATTCTTATCCCCGTTAAACGTTTAACCAATCTATATTATAAAATAACTGTTATGAATCTCGCGTTCTGATTGGTTGGCCAGGAGCGCATGCTTTATGAGAGCACACAGCAAGCAAGCGCACTTTTAGTCGTGTCATTCCTATCTAAAATAACGGTTATTGTAATTTGTATTTTATAAAAGAAATAAACAACTTGCTTGCTGTGCTGTGTGGAGTTATAAAGCACTTGGGGATTGACAGAACACTCGAGAAGCGTCGTGCTTCTCCTAATTCTTCTCTCGTGTTCTGCCAACCCCCGCGTGTTTTATAACTGAACACAGCACGCGCGCGCGTTTTCTATTTCTTCAATTCTAATACGTGAGTAATTCTTATTTGCTCAAAAGGGTTAATTTGTTAGCGTTTCCCCAACATTATATCCGGAATTTTTATGCTTGTCTAATTTATTTATATATATATTTTTTTATTACATAGCAAAAGTCGGAAATGAGTGAAGTTGAAAGACAAATAAGATGTGATCTCCTGCGAACGATGCCAAGCAACGTACGCTTCAAAACTCTAGAATCTGAGGAGGTAAGCGGAGTTGCATATCCATAATCCATTTCAAATGTCCACAACTTATTAAGGCTCATGTCAAACGTCGAACTTCGCATGAGCCGAACTTAATGACWTCAAAGAAGACCGCCTTGTTATCCATTGTTTCAATTAGGTTCGGTTCAAGTAAAATTCGACGTTTGACCTGCCAGTAGGTTTTAAGTTCAGATGTTTTTTTTAAAAGAAAAAAAAGATTCAGTAATTGTTTTCTGTTTTCGCGTTAATTTGTTTATCATCTAACATCAAAACTACAATATTATGTTCTGTTATTTAATCTCAGGGCCGTAACCAGGGGGGAGCACAGGGTGCACGTGCACCCCCCGTCCCATAAAAGCTTAAGGTCCGTTCATCTATCTCCTTTTGCTTTAAAACTGCATGTAAATGGTTTTTGATTAAATGAAGACCACTTTCTATCTGCATATTGTAGCATTTTTAAGAATCACTCACCATTATCCCTTTTTTATATATTTTGGTTCTGCTATTTTTGGGGGGTTACCTTTTTTTTTATTTGTGTTCTGCTTTTTTTTTCTTTTGGTTCTGCTATTTTTTTGGGTTACAAAGTTTATAGATTATTTAGAGGGTTCTTGTTAACGTTACTCAGCTCAGCTCTGTCTTTAGATTGATATTTTTTCTGAAAATGTTTTGTGTCTTTAAATCTTAAAGGCAAGAGATAACTATTCGGACCACGAATTAACAAATATGTAGATAAATTTTTAATGAAACTGGCTCTTAAATGGCTTCCGCTGTCGGTCAATTAAAAACGCACCAATCACATGCAGTGTTGAATACCTTACAACTTCTACATTTAATATTTGCCCGGCTATTAGGTAGATTTAGATTTAGGTAACACAAAGTTAAAAATGATCGAAAAAACCCATGCAAATGAACCACCTTTTCGAAAAGCAAATAGATTGACATGAGTTCAAGAACGTTACATATATGTTTTTTTTTTTACAAAATAACGAATAGGAATTAGTTGAAAGAATCAATTATTTCGCTGTTTTGAAGGTATTGACGGACATTTTTGATATTACCTTTTAGGATATGTTACACTTATATGTTTACTCTTAATCTATGAGTATGGTATTTTGGAATCTAAAAGCAAAAAATTTATTTATAATTAATTCCTCTTACTTTATTAAAAAATTCGACTTCATAAACATCTGTAAGGGAATTTTCTTCGTTTACAATCTTTTTTACCAAGTAAACGAAACATTGTATATAGAATATGTCTAATTGTAAAAATCTTGTATTTTCTTGTATTTCATTCTTTGGGATAATCAGAACTGGTCAGTTTTGGCGTATATAGATAAATTCAATGAGAAAAAATTCATGAAAGTATGGTAATATTTTCGACTTTACCTTTACTTTTGTAGACAGTATTCTATTTTACGAGTTCAGCTGTTGAGTCGTTCTGATTTCGGCTTAATATCACGACTATAAGGCCCTGGCTAAACGAGGAAACATGTTTCACTAAATGTTTCCTAATGTGGCAAAACTGTCAGGAAACATCGGGAAACAATGTTTCCATGCGTCTTGGAAACATGAAATGTTTCTGCCGCACAGTAAAAACATTTTTGGCGTCTTGGAAGCAAAATTTGTTGCACGCAGCAATGTTTCGCATGTGGCTAAACTGGGAAACAGCGAGGAAACATGCGCGCGGTAAAGATGTTTCTGGAAACATGTTTCCTTGTTTAGCCAGGGCCTAATATACTGATTTAACAAACCGTCTTACCATTAGGTTAAGTAGAATTTCGCTCTAAGTTTTTTACTCGTTTATTTACCTTAACTTGCACTTACTATTTGAAGAAGAAAAAAAATTAAATGAACTATTCGGATTCGTACTGATTTCGGCTTCACAACCATACGATAGGGATTAACGAGCTGTGCTACCATTTAGTTAAGTAGAATTTTACTCCTTTATTTTATCGCCTATTTATTTTTAAGTTGTAACGTATTTCCATGTCCAACTTCTACCAAAAAACGCGAAAAATGCTCTCAATTTTTTAACCTTCAACTGAAACAATTAGAACCTTGGACAACAAATAATGTCATCTAGAAAAAATAAGAAAAATTTTCATACAACTGCTTTAAGTTTTGGACCCTGAAGACGTTTTACCTTGCGATTAGCGCCACACTTAGACCTTTGCATCGGCGGGCTTTCTTTCAAACTGGTTGGTTCTCAATATCAACCTCATCACTATATCACCATACTCCCAGTATGAGCTCGGTCTATCGCGATAAGGGTAACAGCTGAAATGTTATGACTGCAATTAAATTGTCGAGGTCATTATAATACTTCTACAAAAAGAAAGAGTAAGGATGTTTATCGAGATCCAGATATGAAACAATGTGGGCCGCGATATTAGTAAAAGTAAAGATTCAAAAACAAACATAAACATTGATATCATTTATCACAAAGGACATCACAACCGAAGCCGGTTTCAGTAAGTTCTTGGTGGTTTAGGGCGTAAAAACTGGTGCTCGAGAAGGAGCGAAGAGCGACGACAGGGGAGGGAGGGAGGGAATGGACTTTGTCGACACTCCTTTGGAGTGCAATCACGTGACCGAAAGATCCCTTGAGATATAAATAACAATAAAAACTGCCTCCATCTTGGTTGATCTAACGAGAGAAACTTGAAAAATGAAGAAAAAATGAAACATGCTTTCAATAGTCAACCAACATGGCGGCTACGACGTAACATGCTCCCCAAGAATTTGGCAAAGCTTTTCTTTCATACTGACTTAAAGAAATTCCTTTTTTTAGGTTACCCAGTTAAAGCGTATCTTACACGTTTTCGCGGATGTCAGACCAGACATTGGATACCTTCAAGTAAGTATCACGTGATTTTTTTCAAGTGGATTTGGACGCAGTTGTGACGTATTTTTGGGTTCAAATCCAACAAAAACAATGCAGTAGAACTTTGGAAACAAATCCTATCGAGATAAAGAATGAGTAAGAAAAATCTCTACAGAGCTATTTTTCGTTTTGGACCTGGAAGCCGTTTTTCCATAAGAGATCATGTGACCTTGGAATATATCACGTGATAGACTAAAAATAATTTACTAAAAAAATTATTTTGATTTTAGTGTTGTTCGATGATTTGAACATCAAAAAGGCCGGTTAATAACCCAGTATGATAATAATCGGTTTTTCTGTGCTAGATATTTTATGATAATTAATTTTTGGTGTAAATCACGCCTACTACAGAAAGTTCTTATGATTCAATATCATTAGTTATTTCTTTCTTTCTTCCTTTTTTTTTTTGGCGCA